ATTTTCTGTTGATTACTTCTACTTCCAGTCGAGCGTTACCCATCGTGGGCCAAAGTCAGCTTTTTGAAATGTTTTAGATATGTGAGAAATTGCGAAAAAAAGGCTTTGCTAAGATTTTTGTTTTAAACAGTTCAGTTAATACCTTGTTTCGTTTTGCAATTTTAACAACCGGAACTTCAATTTTCAATAATTTAGAAAAATGAAGAAATCAGAGATGAAGAACTTGAAAATAACATTTTTTTCAACAGCTTATTCTTTGGTGAAAAATTTCTCTACTCAGTAAATCAATTGGCTTAAAATGCGTACTACTGACACTGATCTCTTTTCCTCCAATACTTTTTTTGCTGTTGTCCGTTCCGTCATCCATCAGCATTTTCCGAATCTTTTTGTTTTAGCTCTATCATGAATAATGGTCAGGAAGTTTCTGGTGAAGCACATTTGCTTAATCCAAGCGAGTATTTGAAATTAAAACCGAAAAAGTCCATTCTCAAGGTTCTTTTTTTTTTTTTAAATACCTGCTGCTACGGTGTAATGCATCGGTATTTGGATACACATTGTGTCTGTTCCCACTTCTTGGTTTCATTTTTAAAACCGATTTGTTCTTAAAATTCGTTTGGTCATTTAACATTGTGGGATGGAGATGGTTTTTCTCGTATACGATTTTCAAAATTATATTTTTTGCAAAGCAGCCATCAGCGGAAGAAAGCAAGCGTATTGCTGAAGATCGAGCCCACTTCGATGAAATGAACATTATCGCAACGCATCATCCAATTGATAAAGAATATGGGTTTGTAATTTCTTCTTGTTCTCGACAGTTTCGAAAGAGAAATAAGATCTTGTTCCTGAATGTTTTACTTGTATTTAGTTAATTCATTAGAAATACACCAGCTTTTTTTGGTCTCTTAAAAATTATCAAAATATCACATTTCCATCAAAACGAATAGTGTTAACAGCAGGCTATGTTTATCACCGAAGAATAAGGTGCTAAGATTGCCATTTTGAACAGTATTCATGTTCTAATCTTGTTCGCTGTGGTATAGTACCGCTTGATTAATGCTTATTATTTGAATTTTTCAAACTTATCCTTCAGATGCTCTGCTAAATCCAATGTGTGTTATCATTTCTTTTCAAATTTATTCTCTCTAGTCGTGGTTTTTCGAACTTCCTATAAATCATAGTTTAGTGCTGGAAAATGTGCTTTTTAGTAGTACATTTTTAGCGTCATCTTCCAGATTAAAACTGTTTAGGTTTCTTGATTTATTGACCATCTTTCGTTGCATGTTTTAGGCATATGAAGATTGAAGAACCGAAGACTCCATATCATGGATATAGCGATAGCGAAGATGATACAGACAGTCACATTACAAAGGCACCTCGCCGAGTTTCTTTGGTTGGAGTTGATCCAGTGAAATTAGCTGAAAGCATTGAAGCTGGCACATCTATTCCGCCAACTTGTCTCGGAAAATTTTTACCAGATGATGAGAGCGAGGTTGAACTTACTCCTGAGCAGATTGGTATGTTGATTTCTTGTTGTTATTAACCGTTTGTCAGTTGTGTTCTGTCATCATTCTGGATAAAATGGATTGTCTTTGAAAGCTTTACTTATGACAGTTATGGTTAAATTCTGGATCTCATTAGAACAGTAAAGAATTTGCAGTGTTTGCTGTTAATTCTTTACTGTTATTCTTTAATTCAAGATTCTCGAGCAACAGCACTCTCGAATTTTTGTTCAAGTTCCAGAAACGTTGATTACAAATGGTATTTAAATTGGGCGTAGTTCTTTTCTAGTGGTTACTGTGAGAGAAATGTCTGGTTCAGTCTTTGAAGGTATATTTTGAAATAAAATGAGTGCAGCTTTTGTTTATAATTTTGTTTCGCTTTCAGCCCATAAGTGTGAATTTGAAAAAAAGAGAAGGATGCATTACAACGAAGGTGCCGCATTGTTACGAGCAAAAGAACTGTTAGCAAAGGATGAAGAAAGCATGGAATAGATTTGTTATTCGGAAACCTGTTCAATTTTTCTCAGAATTTCTCCGGAAATATCCTTATGCAGTTGGCTGATGTTTTCTGATTTTGATGTTTGCACTTTGTTAATTCATTGTTTTAATTCAAGAATTTGCTTTAAAGTTTTTGATATCTCCTCGGTTGCATTTTAAATTTTAAGGAGTAGAAATTCAAAAAAAAAAAAAGAAAAAAGAAATCGAAGCAAATTGGAATTAAGGAGAAATATTAAAGGAAATTCGTGTCCTGATTTTTATTTAACTTTTATATGATTTTATTTGCTAGTGGTCAAGTGCGTCTATGGCACATCACCTAATCTTATTTGCAGCTGTGTCATTCTTTACCGTTTATGTCAGATTCGTTAGTAAGTGATACATTGTTCAAATATCATATGAACTTTATTGGTCAGCTAAGTCAACTGCAGTTGGATTATTTCACAGTGAGGATTCAGTAATTGTCAAGGAGAAAGTCGGTTTTGCATACTGATCATAATTAAAGTACTATCACTGTAGTTCTTTGGATAATTCATAAGTTCCTCAGGGTAATTCCGTCCGTTTCTTTTCTTTCGTATAAATAGACATATATTTGATCGGTACGATGTAGTAAACTCAATACATCGATTTTATATATGTATGATAAAAATGTAAGCAGTGCCCTTTTTTTTTTTTTTTCGCCGGGTTCTGTTTCATCACGTAAGAATATCAGTTCTTATTTTTAGCAGTGTCTCATAATTATAAAAGTTTCTTTTTTGCTTGGCAAGTTTTTAGACTTCGTGCATCACCTTACTCTAATAGCTTAGGGATTCATCTGTCACAAGAGAAATTTTCTAACTGGATGAAATTCCTGAGAACTCACTATTATCTATCAAGTATAGTCAAGCTCTATTGTTTTACCTCAGTGTCCCATGCATGATTTTTTTCCGGTGTTATTTAATTTACAAGTTTACAACTAGAAGGCTGTGTATCTTGAGGTGGGCATAGGTTATCTGATGTTGATTTCGTTAAAGCTGTGGTCGTTGGTATTTATACGCTTCGCACGTATATTGTTTACCCAAGACAACAGAAGTAGCAACCGGAGTATTCACTGTTTATATCAATGAATTATTGTGTTTGTTCAGATGATTAACATTTATTGTGTTATTCGGTAGTTGTACTTTATGTGGATTGGACAGAAGAGTTTTTAAACAAAATCAATTGCAGGTTGCCTTGAGATGGGGTTTGTTAAAGTATATATTTAATTAATACAATATAATGCAGAAATTCTGGCAAGAAATCTTCAGATCACGAGTTCTATGAAAGTTCCTTGCCTTGCTTTCTGGTGGAAGTTTGCTTCGCTTCGGGAATAATTTCCACACGTACCGTTGAACGGTACGAATGTGGTGATTCTGCGATTCGTAAACTGTATATGGTGTATGGATAACAAAACTGATCAATGTATAATTCGGTTGCAATACAGTGCTGTCATTAAGATGCGATCGCAAAACCAGTTTCAGCAATGTTAAACTTCTATGGCATGCCGTATTTTGAAACGCTGTATTCAAGCAATTTCCGAATATTTGACCTGATACAATCCTTGCATTTACGTGATCATTTGAGCGTTATCTCTATAAAAGATTGACTGAACCATCCAATACCACTTAGCTCCCCGCAATAAAAACTCTTATGGACAATTAACTAAATAATTCTCTGTACTAAAGATTTGTTCATTTCGTTCAAAGCAAAAATTTGGTGAACGAACTGTTTGAACACTTTTTAGGTACTCCCAACCACTTCCCAAAACTAAAGATAAATCGTCTACCAACTCTTAAGTCATTCTTGTTCTGTATGCATAATCACTATTGAGCATCTCATGTAGTAGTACATGTCTTTCCATACCACCCAGGATGACTTGCAACTTTTACGGCAATTCAATGTATTTATGTAACTCCATTACCACAAACTGTTTGTGGCACCTAAACAGAGTTAAAAACAACACTGTTTTCAAACAAATATCCCGTATAGACGGGATCTAGCTACAAAAGTGAAAGTTGATTCACATTAGATAAAAAATGGTTTTGTTTGAACTCGAAAAATAACCAAATATATCAATACAGTTCATATGACTGACGTGCTAAACGATTCTTTCTCTGCAAAAAAGTGAAGTGCATGTGCAATCAAAACATAAGTTCCGTCTGCTAACCACAACTCATAGTTCATAGAATGATACTCGCCATCCCTGCAAACATTCATTTCCTTTTCTGTAGAGCATGCACTATTTTCTCGCATAAAGTTCCGAAACCATAGGCTTTTTCAAAGTTGAAAATAAATGATTACAATAATAAAACGTTCTAAAGATAATATTTCAAGTCGGAGATGTTCACCAAGAAGTCTCAGGATTCTCAAGTAGAACTACGACAAAAATCAATACTATAACGGTCTCACAGTCCAGATTTTGATTGTTTGTTAAGTCAAAATACAGATTCCGGTAATTCATTTACAAGAAAAAGTCCTAAAAGCTATGAAATGAATCAAAGTTTAAGAACAATTTCACGAAGATGGGCAATGGAATTCTCATCTAAATTTAGGATTTTCAGAATCCGCCTCGAATTGTAATCTTGTAAAACGTGTTCATTTCCTTTCAGATAACAACGGATATATAAGAAAATTTACTTGAACACTATGAAGTAAAATTAAGATAATACGAATTTACAACTGCAATAGTGAAAATACACATTTAGCTGATTCAATATAACTCATATCTGCATTGTACAGTTGCACTTATAACTCAAATAGCATCTGAAAGTTCTGCCTCCTCAACATAAAAAATTTAAAACAGAATATGCGAATAAGAACTCCTCGAGTAAACACAACAATTCTACAAGGATGGTGAATATTGAATAGTAACTGCATACTATTCCCAACTATGCTCAGCAATGCACCCGAACACCAATTTGAACAAAGAAAAATACGAAATATTGCTGAAAGAGATGAATTCAGCAAAAAATGGTATAAAAATTCTTCTCAGTTTAGATGAAAACCTTTTTCATTAGTTGCTGTTAGAAGACGTTCACGCATAATCTCCGTAGAACTATAATCGGGCAATTTTAAGTAGTGAACACAAGTATTCACAGATGGATAACTACCGTCGCCGCTATCAACTTTTCGAACAATTGTCAAACGTGGATGCAAATTTGCCAAACCACCTACAAATATGAAATGATCATATATTATTGAGAAATATAATGAATGGATGACTGAATAAAACCACCTACAAATATGAAATGATCATATATTATTGAGAAATATAATGAATGGATGACTGAATAAAAAGAAAAAATCTCAATTGTTTATTACAAAAAAAAAAATTGAAAAGAAAAATGACATGCAATCATAAATAAACTGCTCGATTCATGTTTCATATAACGAACCTGGCGGCAAGGAAGAACAACCTGTTGTAAACTGTAAAAAGGACTTGCGTTCACAAGCATTCATTCCTACTAGAACATCAACAAAGCGTAAGAAACCAGGCGATTCCTTAGTATAACCCAGTTTTGGCTCAGTGAAACTAATAATATCTTCACGAGTCCATTCCGGACACTGATCACCAGATAGCAAAGTCTGCAAACCAATCAGTTTAATTTGAAATTGCAAAGGATTGGAACCTGGATCCCATTTTCAAAAAGGAAAAAATGTAATATCAGGTATCTGTGTGGTACACAATCTGAATAAACACCTATCGGATACATTAATGTAGAAGCAAAAAATTTCTAGTTTTAAACCGGCCTGTAATTCTCTTGGAACAAACATCCTTAAATTTCGTAAAGGAAAAACAAGATCAAAGCCTTCGCGAAATGCTTTCAACTGAAAAAAAATTGACCTAAACTGAATACATACATTGGAACAAAGTATGCATAAATTAGAAAGAAATTCTGCTAAATAAACTCATTCTGAAGTTAGCTAATCAATCCGTGGTCTAATATGTCTGCAAAATAGCAACAAGACAATTTCTCCGAAACTTAAATTCAACCAAAACTTGTACCTGATTAAGAATACCAGAACTGAGATAAAAATCCGTGCATGAAGCAATATAAAGTTCAACATTATTAGCAGTGACATCGATATTCATACCATTTTCAATCAGTTCCATTTGCTTATAGTTGAATATAGTTGACGATGGATTTACACTGAAACAATTAGTATTCAAAATCAGAACAACTCGGTAAAAATGAAAAAATCTCAATTACAAAAAATTCAGATTTCCACAGAAATGCTCACCAAAAAGTTAATGATAAATCCTCAATTGTACATTCTGAACCATTAATATTTAATTTAAGTTGTTCGATCTTTCGTCGTCGAGTATCTGGATCAAACCTCTTGTCAGCTTCAATAGAACGTTTCTGCACGATATATGCATCTAGTTCTTTTAATATACAACCTGAATAATTTTTTCTTTAATATTGCCAACTGAAATACCAAACACTTGCGATCGACTTTTCAATCATACATAGATAAAGGGTCGCTTAATTAAACTACTTTCAATTCCATCACTTAATTTTTTATCACCAAATTTCTGGAAGGAAACCAAAATCACTTTCAATTAAAAATCAGCCTCATTCATAAAAAGCAAAAAACAATGAGGAACTGTTGACGTAGCCAGAACTAATATTAAAGAATACTAGCAATCCTATCAATACAAAGAGTTAGTTACAGCTACAAGAAAAGAACAGCAGACAATAAAAAAATAATTTATGAATTTGTAACTGAAGTTGGACCGACCTCTGACTGGGTATACTTCTTCCAAATCATTCAAATTAAGTACACCATTCAAATCAACAGTATTTCCTTCAGTTAGCTAAATAAAATTACATTATGTAATCTACATTACACAAAAATTGAATAATTCCATAAATAGTTTCATCAAAATCTCGAAATACAAAACCAATTATGAAAATTCCTGAATGGCATTATAACTCTGTTTTACTCAAATCAAAAGAAAGGATACCTGTGGGTTGGTAATTATTTTTAAAAATGGTTGCGAAAGTGGTAAATCCACCAAACGACCATCCTGTAGTACTTTAGCTAGGAAAATCCCGAAAATTCGAAATAATTGAGAAACACGTGAATTTTCTGCAGATGAAATTGGTATTGAAGCCGGAAAAAGTCCTCCAGTGCGACGAATATAGTATCTAGATATTGATACATAACATGTTCTCGTAGTTTTATGCAAATTAAAAAAAGAAAAATTCCTTAGCAAGTAGCCGTAAAAAATGATAAGAATAAAACAACACTTACCCCGGTGGTTTCACACCCTCCCCAAGATCTAGTCCTTCCATCTGGTCAGTATCCATGTCATCACAGATCCACATTGCTAAGTCTTTGCGTTGAAATTCGGCGGCCATCTAAATTATGAACACTCATTTTCCGAGATGCAAAAGACAAAAGAAACCAACATCCAGAAAAACAAAAAAGAAAAAAAAAAAAAAAAGGAACACGAGACAAGGTTGTAGTACAAACCAAAGCATAAAACTCCAGTGTTGGTCCCAATCCAGTTCCTTCTTCATTAATATATTCAACTTCCAGCACCGCTTTCCTAGAAGCATGAAACTCCAATAACCGGACAGCATATTCGAATAGCTGCTCATCGTCACGTGGCACCTAGAATCAAATGCTTGCAAAGTTTGGTGGAACATGAAACAGTAAAGTGGTGGCTAAAACATTCGAAAATTTGTTTCTATAACTTTTAAAAACTAAAAATCCACTCTTTTTTTTGAAAACATACCTTGATGCGTTCATGCTTAATTCGGCCTATGCGGAACTCGGGATAATTATCATCTCTACGAGTTCCAGTAAGATTCGATACCGATGCAGCACTTGTTGCACCACGAGACTGTTCAAGCATCTGTTAATCACACATTAAATTATTCTGACTAACTAATCAAATACATTGCAAGAACTACCAAAATCATGAAGACACTGTGGACAGAGTGCTAATTATACCAATTACGACAACAAACTCCTTACCTGATCGTGACGAGCCTGTAGCCATACAATTGAACGCGAAGTACCAAACGCAGTAGCTCGAAAATAATTAGTCCTATAAAAAAATGAAGTGGGATAACGATTGTTATCAACTGCATCATAATAAAGTCATAATATGATGATAAATTCTCCTGATTTTAGGGATTCGAGCTCCAATTTCTCATTTTTACAGTGCCTTGCTCATCACTATGCATGAAAATTTTAGAAAAAAAAAAAACCTTCAGTCTTCGAAAGGTACAATGCCAACAGAATTAGCAAGTATAAGAAATTACATTATTTTAATCAGAACCAGCTATCAATAAAAACAAGCAGCACTAATGTGTGTCAAAAGATTCAAGGTAGAGCTTACCTCGTTTCAACACTAAATAAACATGGATATTTGAAAATTAGTTCATCACACCAAGAAGGCAAAGCTCTTGCAGAAACAATCAACGGATCTGCCAGCTCTTGCATCAGTTTTTGAGTCAATTTTTCACTAACAAAAATATCTGTCGCCATTTCATATTTCATTACATTTGCACCAATTTGATGTAAGTTTGAAAGAACTACCAAAGTCTGCAAACAGTGCATGATATAAGATCCAACACAGCAAATTTTACCATTGTTCATCAGACACTGCTTTCCTAATCAAAAAAAAAAAAACACGACAACGAACAAAGCCTGGCTACTGGAATATGTAAATCAAAAATCTAAACACATTAAAACAATTGAATTTACATTAGCAACATTTTCTGGGAAACCATTCATTTCTGCAACCGTTTTATTAATTGTTTGCGGAAGTTCATCATTATCACATGCATTTCGATAAATCAATGTATACGTCGGCTCCCAAATACGCCTTGTTCTTTCATTTTTCTGTAATGTGAGGTCAAAACCAATGTCCGAATTTAAACATAATGATAAGTCATCAAGTATTTTCAACAGTGCAATCCAAGAACACCAAGTGGGTGTAGTTCTACAGCAAATTATCAAATTCAACAACTGCATATTGTTATAATATCATTATCAGTACACAGCAAAAGGACACCTCTCTATAGCTTTACCTGTCCCCACTCGACATTTTGAACAAGCTGCTGAAGATAGAAAAATATCGATCTGTCATTATCAACCAGTTCGATAGTAGCATTACTTATGTTTGTTAAATTGGGTCCTTGAAGATATAGACGCAACTCTGGTACCTGAAAACAACATCGGATACATAACTGTAGCAAATTTAATACCCTAAATCATACTACCTCTTCCGTATGCGGCACTGAACACCCAGAATAAAATGCCGCTTCACTCCGAGAATCACTGATACCATCTGGCAAGTCGATATCCTGGATCTGTAATAATGGTCATATAACTAAAGCATTATCGGAGGTATCATTACTAAATTCAGCTACAGTAATAATTCGAATAAAGTAAATCTTGCAAAGTTTCATACATGAATTATATAAAAAAGCAACCAATAACTTAACAGCAGCGTTACCAAAGGCTCTTAATGCACAGCAAATCGTCAAATGTGACAATAAATGCAAGTTACCTGATTGACATTTGTTCTGCCTGGACGAGGATCGAATGCAGGAATTAAGGCAGGTAATTGGTGCTTCAAAACGAATTCATCATCCCAATTCCGACTGACACCTCCTCGATTCTGTTTGTTGTTACTTGGCGAGGTTGATGATCGTAAACCTCGATCACCTATCAATCTGCCAGCCTCACCCATTACAATCTTTAAATAAAAAATAAAGTAATAATCACAAATAATTCATCGGACAAAGACTGAGAACTGAATTCAAACTGCGACCTGGTTATTTCGAAATATGTTCTCTACTGACAACTAAAAGCAAACCAATCATAAAAAATCTTAAAACAGCAAATTGACTGAACACAAGGTAAAAATTATGCCTGTTTCCAGTTAAACTTCAGTTCTCTACTCAATCCAGTGTTTCCTCCACTGGACTGTTTATGAAAAGCAGCTGCTGCTTGCGCCAGTGCCTCTACAGATAAACCATTTGCATATTCCTCATCACAGTCATCTTCGTTACCTTCATCTTGCATTTCATCATCGTATATGTCATCCTAAAGGGATGCAAATAACGAGTTAAAAGGACCCGAAGTGTTATAGCTATGAAATCTACACAGCAAGAAATTATAATAACCCTAAGTTTTATCAGAAAAGTATTTTGATTCACTACGATGCACCAAACAGTTTCTTCCGTTGTTCATCACAACAAATATTAAAAGAAAAACCGCATTATCGAAACACATATCACTGCTTATTGAACTGCAATGTTAAGCTATAATCAATTATTCCTGAAATAGGTAGAAACAACACATTTAATGAAGACCTCAATTTCTTCTAACTCGAGACCATTCAGCGAACCACCAGAATCAATGATTTGTTGCATGACAACGGTGCGTAGAACATCTGCGTAATTACCTAAACGTGAAGGGAAATTGCCTCCACTATTTTGCATACTTCGTCGTGAGCCTAAAATGCAAGATAATTCCACCTATAGTGAATCAACAAATAACTTTGAACCCATAAAGTTATACAATATAACTAGATAGTGACACTTCGTCACAACAAAATTCGAAAAACAGTTAATCTAATAAGACATCTAAATAAAAAACAAACAATTGAAAACCAAAGAGACAGAATAGTTCATGAGCCCAGAAAGAAAAAATGTACTTCGTACTCCTGTTTACCTATAATTTTAAAAAGGACAAAAACACATACACAAAGACTGTGACCCAGAAGCTGATCGAAAACCTGTTCCAAACGAAGATTTGCCAAGTGCTCTTTGGGAACCACCTGGCTGATTTGAACCGATTATTTCCATCGAAGCATCCATTTTATCAGAAACATCGTCATCTAAAACTTGTACATAATTGACCACCAGTAAACACGAAAGACTTGAGATTACAAGAGTAGGACAGATAAAACCATTTTTACATCGAAAATCTTTGAGATGGTGATATTTGTTGTGTTTACTCCAACACTTACAAAATATACGATCGAAAGAGTTTGCAATCATGAATGTCTGCTCTATATATATCCGATGAGAAAGTTACTGGAAGTCACCTAGTTTCAAATAAACAAAATAAATTTTTTTAAATTTCAAAAAATACACAAAATACGGACCTAACTGCTCTGGTAAGCAAGAAGTTAAAGGCGCTTTGCGACCATTTGTAGAAAAAATTGTGCTATCAGCAATCGATATATTTGTTGCCACTTCGCGATTACTACTATTTTCTTCAGCTGTAACTCACAGACAGAGAAATACAGAGGCAAGACAGCAAAAAAGAATACAGTACATTCATATTTTTTTGTCCATTGCATGTAGGCATTTAGGATAGCATACTAATTCATCACCTTCATACATTTCAGATCATATTAAAGACCTCAAAAAAAAAAAAAAAAAAGATAATATGCAAAACAGAAGTTCCAAGCTATGTATACAACCAATACTTATTATTCTCTGTCCAGGATTAAACGACTGCAACATCATGGGCACCAACGAGATTTTCACAGGCTCCAAGGGAAATGTATTTCCTTGTATCTCTGAGGAACCTCTTTCTTTTTGTTTCCAGCTGTCTCCTAGTTTGCTTTCATTCGATTCACCATCTAAAACATGATGAAGACGGAGACAAAAAGAAAAAAAAACGTTTTCTCGAAATATCTTGTTTCAACAACTTGATATTTATTTTTCAATTAACAGTTATACCTTACAATATCAACACCAATCAAATCAAATTCAAAGAGAAATATTTACCAGCAAGTGACACGACAGCATCGATATGTTCATTAACTTCGCTACTCATGTCGGCATTTTTGCGAATGATTTCATGAGTCAGTGCTCCAAACGATTCGTTCCTTATTCGCCCGTATTCTTCATTGATTAAAGACCGCCGAGTAGAATCATGTATAGCTATAATACACTGTTCTATGCATGTTGACTTGAACGTGCTTTTAAGAGATGGAAGAGTATTTTGTCTTTTTTGATTAACTGGTACATTTTTACCATTTGGATGGATAAAACAAAATGTATTAATCACTCACATGAAATTTAAAAAAAAAAAAAAAACTGAAAATTGAAGTTCTTGATGCAAATACGCTTAAACACTTACTAAGTGTGAGAAAAGACGTAAGCTTTTTATATGATAAGTAGCCTGGGAATACAGAATGAAGAAAAGGCACAAAAATTTGTTATCTATTTAATATTAAAAGTAGGTAGATAAACGGAATGGAGCTCCTAAGAAAGCCTACCGTTATCACCATCACTTATCATAGCTGAACCGCTTCTTGCAAGTGCAAATCGACGCAAGCTACGAAGCCGCGATGGATCGTTGGCCAAATCTTGCAAGATATTCCGCACTAAATCATCGTCACCGGATAAGAACATTTGATCAGTATTCGACGTTGCTCCCGACTGTTGAAGCTGTCGTAAAATAACCAAATTTGGAGCGCTGACACTCATACTATATAAACAGTAACATTAGAATAAATGAAAGGCATAATAATAATAATAATAATAAAGTTTCAGTCCATAACATACTCTTTCGATATAATCAGCTGCACAAGAAGCCAAGACACCTAGCACAAACTTTCATTCAGCATCACGTTACACTTCATTACATATTTGTACATTTGTTCTTATTTACCCAGAAAGAAAGAAAAAACAAGGAAATGCAACTTACTTTGCTAAATTTCGCGCATTTGCCTCCCCCAGCGATGTAGTATTACTACTACTTGCTGGAGCTAAATCATTTTGTATGTTGGATCTCACCGAGTTCTGAGGATATGAACACGTATCACGCTGCCTGATTACTTGCGCTTCTCCAGAAGTGTCAGAATCTTGATCAAGTAATATAGGCTGAGAGCCACCAACGTATGTGCTTCAAATCTTTAATTCAACACACAACAAAAAAAGTAACATCTTGAAATATCACCAAAAAAAGACAATGTTAACATTATTATCATCTGAACTTTTTCAGGACCAATCTTTCAAACTACACCTCGGTTTTATAGAAACATTCACATCATGTGTCTTTTCGATAATTGCGACTGCACCATCAAAACTTTCGAAGCTGGTATCCAAACCGGCATAGTTATTTGTAGAAATACTTTCCTGATCAGTATCGACGGCTGTTGAGGAGCCTGAAACTATGAGGAAATGTAAAAATGTAAAGTTAATCAGTAAAGAAAATCTACGTTATTAACAAACAGCGATAATGAAATGTGAAAATGGGTTTACAAATACGATGCACTTACTGTAGAGAACATGAAGAACAAAACAACTTAAATGCCGAAAATAAAAGGTAACATAAAACTTAAATGCCGAAAATGAAAGGTAACATAAATCTTTTTGAAAACTTCCGAAAGTACTTCCGAATCTTATATATTTGCTTCTCATCAATAATATCAGCAAGCGATGTGACCCTGATTTTCATCAGACCAAAATCTGTTATATGTTGAACAACCGAGGGTAACAAAGAGAAAAAGAAGCCTGGAACGGACAACCTGGATAGAGGAGAATGGAAAGGACAAACTGATAAGAGTTGCAGGTCTATTGCAAAATCCAGAAACTCTATGTTTTTGCTGGCAAATTAACGACAGAATATGCAAATATACGGAGAATTAATTGCTACCCTTTGACAAAGTGGGAACTCCTACCAGTTGTATGCTGACTTTCAGCTGTAGGTATATCATCCGAGACTACTTCTGGGATACGGTCATCGAATATTTTTGAACGTGCCAGTAAATTTTCTAAGGATGGTGTCTGATGTTGCAAAGATTCCGCACTTGCCGCCTGATTGGTTGATGCTACTGACGCTCTTTTCGCTGCCTCAGATCCCTGAAGATATAATTTAATGTATTCTTTTATAATGTCCACCAATGAACGAAACTGCAAAAGAAAAAGTCATGTTCCAAACAATAGAGTCCAGACAGTCAATCAAGTTTCGCTAGGAAATGAAGAGTGTTATTCAACCGAGAAGTCACTTCTACACAAATTAAACAAACCAAACTTTTACATCAAACAAATTGGTAGTTGACATCGATTTTTGTGCAATATTTGAGGACAGCTGATTTGTAGTAATAATCTTAGCATTAGTAATGCCTGTAATTATGCTAACTTAAATTAATGCATGAATACTCTGCAAAAGACAGTTACTCAAACAGGTGAAAACGATTTTAATTAAAAGGCGTTGCGACGACAGTGACCAAAGTAATTTCTTAACAGACTGTCAGACCTACTTTCATCTTCTGCATTAATTTCTGATTTCTGTAAATTAGAGGAGTCCAAACCATTAACGCAATCTTTTGTACGATGTTCTTGTGAACCACAATGAAGACAAGAGTCAGATTTGTTCCGATCGAAAGCTCAAAATAAACTTAAATTATAGTAATAGCTTCAAATATCTTACATTTCTTTAAAAACCACTTTATCATGAAGCAGCTGTTCATCGAAAAGCCTTTGAGAAACCATACATATTAAGCGGTTTTATAATTACCGAAAGCAGTTTCGCACAAATTTAATGGCTAATATAATAAACAGAAAAGTAAAACAAACTACTCATTTCAGCACTGCTACGTGAACTGACACTTTGATGATACCGGGAAAAAGATGCATTGCCGGGCTTCGCCTTTCGTAATGTTTCTGTGGGACTATGATCCATAAACCCGCGCGGAACTGGAGGAAGCTGTCTTCTGAAAATGAGAATAAAATACGAAGTTTCCGAAAAACAAGATTTGTGAATGTCATGAATACAATTTTGAAGAACTTCCTTACGAAAATCCAGGAAGGACTTGACCGCTACCGGTGGGATACAATGTAGCTGCAGCATGACTCTCTCGTCGTGCACCAACTATTCGAAAACCTCGACGTAAACCCTAAAACTCGCCCTTTGAAAGATACAGCCAAACAAACGCGTAAAATTTATCCAATGAAAATATTTTAAAATGTAAAATTTACCGGTGACCATTCAGCAGACTTCAATTCAATATCATATTTTCCGTCGGCACCAAAGCGATAAGAATTTGATGTACAATCATCCCACTGAACATCAATCCAACCTAAATTATACAATTCACTGTTCCTTCTAAAAATGATGATCAGCTAAGGTTAAAACAGAAACTAACCATTATCAATGAGAGATATGACCGTGCCTTCCATATTACTCCCCTGATCATCCCATTTCCAATCTGGACCTCGAACTACGCGACTGCCTACCGGACAAGTCACTGCATCAGGCACGCTAGCTATACGGATTCCACGTCCTGCTATATTTGCTGCCAGTAAACGCGAACCACGCCGATACCGAAATGTCCTAGAACTTCACAAAAAATACTCTGAAGAAAATGTAAAAGTTTTGCTGAAATAAAACTGAAATGACAAACTCAGTCTTACATTTCATTTGACCCTTCGTATTACAGTTATTACAAAAATAAAGAGAAGGTATTGCAACAATTATAACCCTCTTAAAAGCTTTTTTCTTTTTCCTTTTTTAAACAAAAAACAAAGCGAGCTACTTTAAAATGCAATTTCTCAAACCTGCTCTTCACTGCATTTGTCCCGCTGAGCATCACATCACATCCAATAATACCACTTACAACTTTATTATTGGTTTGACCGCCAGGCAAATGAACAACACTGGCATCACCAAGTGAGGTCGCAGAATGTATGTTAGTATTGATTGAAGTGAGCGATGTTTCATTAATAATGCTTTCCTTCGCTGATATTTCCTTAGTACTAGTAATACATTTTTTGGATCGCCTGCTACTCATGCTTGGCTTTTCTTCCAGAATTTTAAAACCATCTACCTAAATATTTCTCCAGTCACAGAAATGAAGAAAATATGGAAAACTGTCCTGTTTCTCTTAACGGAAATTATTATATATTCCTTCTAAATACATAAAACTTAAAACAACTTAATAATCCTTCCCTTCTTTATGAACCCTCGAAAACAAAATGATGACACAGAACCTCCATCTTTATCACAGCAGAACAAAAAAAAAAAAGTTCAAAGCTTACACACTTACCACGACATCAACAACATCACCATATATTTCAAAACCTGATAACGACAAATAATGATTCTGGTTACTGGCATTTCTGCCGTTTTGTGCAATGCGAATATATCGATAGGGACCTAATACAGCATATTATAATCTCTATTTATGTTGCAATAAACACGAAATTCAGTATACCGTAGACACAATAAAAATAAACTATCGAAATAAATCTACCCTTGTATCATACATAAACATACCTTTGTCCTCTGGACAAGCAATTGGCCATGATGCTGTGGAACCTGGATAATTCAATGAGGTATCATTTTCATGCACCACAAGTACATCCCATATTCGACCGTTATGAGAACCCTACAAAAATAAAAACACAATAAACAAAGTTACAACCAAAATTTCTTTCTGATGTTCAGAAAGAAACAGCTTCTGTATCCATGAGAACAGATTTTAGTCAAATTAACTCATTCCAGAGGTTTTATTATTTGATTCTTTAACTAAACCTGTAAAAGCCAATTACGAAGGGCAGATCGTCCGTAACCACGAGCATGCCGAAGCGTATAAGTTTTTGGATAAAAATAAATACCAAGATCAATCGTAAAGTGAGCGTTTCTGTAAATGATAGATTACAGCACTAATATCCTAAAAAAATTTTTGGAAATTATAAAGTTTAAGTCGATGTGTACCATTCCAAAAGGAAAAAAAATTCACTTATCGTCAGAAGTATGACAATTGAGAGCTTCACGGCTTAAAATGTCTTCATGCTGGCCATATGGTAGACGTTCACCATCCGAACTTGTTACGAAAACAACATGAACACTTGCTGGGTTTGTCCATTCAGTAACTGTTTTTCCATTTGTTCCCAGCCAATAAATTATGCCTGAAAGAGTCTCAGTAAAAAAAGTCCTGACAATGGTATAAATCTATAGAAAAAAGTATTGGTAAAACATAAAACGCTTTTGTGCCCACTTCCAAGCACCCACTATTGCTGACCTGACTTTTTAAATTAGAACGATGCAGGGTCATCCCTGTTAGGAAAATTTGAACAATTTGCTAAAACAATATATATTTTCAACTGCACTGAAATCCTGCATGCATGATACAGCTAATATGCATCAGACAATGATTAAAACTGTGATTTATAAAAGAGATACATACATCAAAAGTACTGAAAACCTTTATCATCGAAGTCACTAGTGTAAGTGAATGAAATTTTTGTTCCATGCTTTCTTGCGTTTTTTATTTCTTCCACAAAATGAAACGTTTGACGTCCTCGATCATACCACTGTTTAGTAACCATTCGCAAAATATAACACTTCAACTGCTTCACTGTACTTAATGGTTCCACTTTCATTGTTCTACCCGATCTAAAAATAAATAAAGCCGTAGTTGAAACATTTTAAAGGGTGCAGTCTGTTCTTGCTATGAGTTCTTTCAATAAACATTAAACATGAGTTGCTTAAAACTACTTGAACTTAACTGGAAACCATACTCTACAATGAATACTTTAAACTTAATTTTGAGCGTAACACCAATTTAACGCGTATATTTCCCTTTAGTAACAACATAAAAAAAAAAACTACCGATCCAGCAACTGCATCTGAGGAGGTGTATTCGAATTAAATTGTTCTAATTTCAGTTTTATACGACGATTAATTAATTGTAAACCAAATGATGAACCACCGGGAGTGTCATAGAGATACTGAGGAAATTTTTCTATAGAATCTAGAACCGACACCATTTTACACACTAGAGCGGACAGTGAACGCTGGTCTACGAAAACCTAAAAAGGTACTGGTTGAAAAAAAAAAGCCAAATGATACAGAATCGATTAAAAAATGAATAACAGAGGTATATAAAAGTAGAAAAGTAACGAAATAATGCAACATTTAGAAAAACAAAAAATAAGTGAATGTCTTTACCCTTCGGAAAATGATTGCTATTTCACAATTCGTGTCCCTTTGTACAAATTTCAGAAACGCCAATAAAGCGCCAACCATTCCAGATATCGACAATTCAAAAGTTGATAGCAGACGATCATTAATAACGGAAGAATGAATGCATTTCAAAGCTGCTTCTAGTTCCGAAAGCATATGTGCCGATAACTGATCATTTTTTTGCTGGCAGATATTCTTAAAGAACAAAATTAACTTGCTCCAGGAAGTTAAATAGTCAAAAATCTGAACATTTACTATGCAGTAGAAATGTACCGAACATTATGAAAAGGATTCCATATCACTGGTTCACAAAATATCTGCTCTTTTCTCTTAATTGAATCACTATAAGCTTCCACCCGCACCCACTTCCATGATACATAATTGTTTGCATGCATTATTTACACGAACCTTGATTGTGGATGATGCTTTCTGTAATTCAACTAAAGCGTCCCGTGGCTTTGATTGAGCTTCTTTCAAATATTTGACCCAAATTTCCTTCGCCATTTCTTGTAGTTTCGCTTTCTGAGTCTCGGCACGGAAGCGTAAGCGTCGCCCTCCACCTCGTGCAGCCCACCCAGTAACAAAGTCTAAACCTGGAAATACACACAGTATCAGAAAAAAGAAACGAAATACATTCAATTACTTTTGGTACAAGTGAACATTTACATATATGAAAGACAAAAACACATAACATGGAAATTTATAATAATGAAGAGATCTGAACAATTCAAAAGATCTTCAAACAAACCTAGAGTCCTTTCCGCTTGGAAACAATGTTTTGTTTGGCGATTTGATTCGAAAATGAAACCAGGCAAATCCTCCACAATGATCAAACGTTGCTGATTCCCATCACAATTTGTTACAATTAATTCACCAATTTTTGGCGAACTCAAAATCCAATTGCCAATTTCAATCTAAATATGTATAAATATTAAAGAAATAAAAAACCAAATTTAATTTTACTTCAAACTTGTTATAAGCTTAACACCTTGAAAATATTTTTCGACCTTATTCTATTATCAAATTCATGGTAATCTGATGTGTTGCCAAATTAGTTTAAATAAGAACAAATACCGTTTTATTAATATCCGGTGTGCTAAATATTGAATGAAGAAAGCTGCCTGGTGGTACAACACTTCGAGCTTTGGTGAGCTTGTCCAAAAACTCACCACGGGTTTCAGCGTTGTCAGAACCAGCCTCTGGGCTCCCACTGCTAGAAGTACGTGATCAAGCAAAAGTTGCAATAACGGAGAAAAAATAGCGGCCTGGTAAGAATTTAAGACAAATAAAATACCTATACATAGTACTAAGCCGACCATCTAACATGAAGCGGAACCAACCATTACTACCATCGCTGAAAACAATACTGATAAGAACAAATGGAGATAATTTCATCTGAGATTACTATCTGATTATGAAATTCATGAAGTCATAATGCTTGACTATTTTATAAAAAAAGAGACCTAAATTCCACGGCTACAGCATCGCACCAAATAAAGAAGGAATCTCTGCTTTTGATCATCCTCCAATCTTTCCATCGATAGCTCTTACCTTGTAAAATTTCCCATTCATCATCTGCTGCCAACGAAAGATCAACGCTCGTATTATATTTGGAAGTTACTATAAACATAACTGTCAATATTCAACAGGAGAAATAGGTAAGAATTATACATCTGCAGAATTCAGTGAGACGCTTTTCAGTACAGTGAATAACAGAAAAGTCAAAAAAAAAAAATTTCAGTAGCAGTTTTTTGCTGAAATAGCATCAAAACTAATAGAAAAACCAACCCGCTGTGACAGAAACAGTCTCAGATGTTTCGAAAACAGAAGATGGAGTTAAAGCATTTATACTTGCAGACGCAGTTACCTGCGTATTGTGTGGATCATCATCCTGGAACTGGAATCTGTGGTCATGAGTGCAATGCAGAACAAAACTAGAAAATCTTTAACCAGAAATACCAGTTAAGAGATAGAAATAATGACCATATGAAATCTCATTTACTTTCACAAACGCATTTCTTTACAATGAATTTTCGTAAATATTTAACTTACATGAACAGGAACGTTGACCATTGCGTGATCATTTATTTCCTTAGCTGATGATATAACCGTTGAAGATGTGGTACTTTCATCACTCCAGTTTTTTGAAGGATTCACTGTAAAATGTTGTCCATTCTTTACACCAGAATTTACATCTATAACTATTCATTTGTGACAACTACTTGTACGTTTACTTAAATAAGAATTATAATATTTATACGTTTGCTTACAGAAATAAGAATTATAATCAGCTAAACCTTGTGAAACTTCATCTGCTTCCACAAACATGTTATCCATAACTGTAACAGATAAAGAGCTTGACATACGACCATTCTCGTCAGTGACCACTGTTGTCACAGCACTATCTTTCACTGGTGTTACTGGTAGATTAGCAATAGCTTCAACTTTTTCGAAAATCCCAACGCGCACCAACTGCTCTAACCAAAAGTCTGTACTTTTCATGAACAAGGACTTGACAATCTGCAAAATTAACTGGTGCTATTTTTTGCTTATTTTAATGACAGTACATCAATGCTTGATGTACTGACAACTAAATTTGTTTTATTAAGAGTGAGCATCATATGTGGTTATCATAATTGCTTCCTTATTAAGTGTAAAAGCATTTTTTTGTTGTACCATATATGTTCTTACTCTTCCATATTTGGTGCAGTACTTCCGTTTACGAAGAAATTACGCAGCTTAGGAGATTACTATTAATTATTGTTCTATTACTATTGTTCCACTATCGCTAAAGAATAACTGTGTAACCTCTGCGATTAAATACATACTTGTAACACATTTTCATGCGATTCTGTGTCGTCTTCATGTTCCAAACCCATCATAAGAACGCTAACAAGATTTTCAGCAAGCCGCTGTCCACGAGAAAAACAGATATCAGTCGTAACATCAATTCCATTACTGTCATTTGTAACCATCGATTCCATTGACTCAGGTGATATATGACAGACAGCTTTACGAAGCAGCGACAAACTGGATCTATGTACACTAGCACCAAGCGAACGCTGCAAGTTTTTGGTTTGTTCCAAGCAACAGCATAAAACTGCCACCGCTTATAATGCTACGCTAAGAAATATAATCAAATATTATTCTCAACAACAATCTTAATTCAAGACATGAAAAAATCTTACAGCAGGGTTAAATTTAAGTTTGCACGTAGTTCATCAGTATCTCAAAACAATTACTATCTGACTAATGCATAACAGACATAATAGAAAATGATACGAGATGTACTCTCAAGCCAGATTTCACATTCAAATAAGTGATGTCTTTTTGTACATCACGGACTATGTTACCTGATAAACATCGCACAAAACTGGTAAAAGTTGTTCCAGTAATTGACGCACGATCGTGGGATCGATCTTTTCATTTGATGTTTCGCCCGCGACATCAGTTTTTTCCTTCACTACCTTTTCTAAAACAAAGTTCGAGATAGTATTTGAATCCCATATTTGTTGGTTCTTCAGGCACAAAGTCCACACTTATATTAACTCCTCAAATATTTAAGCTATTTTTTAATATTTAGAGATAATGTGTGAAGATGTAAGGTACTCAGATATGTAAAACTTAATATAAGTACTGACAGGATAACCAGATATCAAAACTATAAAAGTGAAAGTTGATCTTTCTAAAAGAATTATTTCACCATCAATCCCTTGTATATAAGCGCTTGGACTTTCCAGAATACTTGCTACTAGCTGATGCTCCTCTTCACTTCTTTCGTGCGCTTTATCCAGTGCTGTTTTACCTTCCTCATCACGAAGATCAGGATTTGCTCCGTATTTCAATAAAATTTTCACAATCTTGAAATAAGGATAAAGCATTACATAAGGAACAAGTTTTGAAAAGAAAAAAAAAAAACCATGGTTGGATATAAAAAAACTTACATCTGACCTTCCAAAACATGCAGCGTAATGCAACGATGAGGACCGTTGACCCTTATTTACATCGGCGCCCTTATCACACAAATACGTCACCATTTCAGCAGTGCCAAATGCAGAAGACCAATTAAGCAAAGTTTGTCCCACATCGTCCGTGAAATTTGCATCAATCTGAAATGACTTACATAACACATTGTAAGAAATGAACTTTTACTTCCAACAAAATAAATATTGGCGTAATGCTTAGCTATTATTTAAATTGAAAGGAACTATTCAGATTAATTTCAAGCTATTAAAAGGATAACTATAGCAGAAAGAATTAAAGAATGCATTTTCACTAAAACAAAAATTTAGATCATTCGTAAGAAATGGGTGACTTATTTAGCATCGTCGAACAAGATGTTCACTTTCAACATAAATTTTCATGTCAAAAATCTTTAAGTTTACCTGTCCTGATTCAATAGCGTCAATTAAAGCATCTGTATCACGTTGACGAATTGCATCGATGAGATGCCTATGGGATCGGTCAAATGAATTAGGACCTAAAAGCAAACGATATTTGATCATCTCTTTTAAAATTTTAAAAAAGAGATCATAGTAGATCATAGAATAAGCAGAGCTTCCAAATGACAAACCTGTTTCGGTACGATTAGCTATAGTAGAACCCATACTTTTAGGTAACGCACTTCGCCCCTCACAGAGAAGTATCATAAGAAGATCACAAAAGCGCAAAGCATCCATAATACAGCGTTCATCTTTGCCCATCAGGACTGTTTTCAGTGCACAAAGAAGAACCGGAGAGCTGCAAAAAAAGCTATTTGCGAAATACTCATTTTCCTGCTTCACCAGCAAAATTAAAATTTCGCTGATACATCAAAAAATGCGCCGAAAATATATGATCAAAAATATATTTGGTGTCAAAATGTAGTTCCAATCACCCAACTGGTACCAACGTCGCAAAAATCACCTTACGACTTGTTCGGTAACAATCGATGAGCCACGACAAAGATTACTCAATAATGAAATGACAACGGAGACAAATGACGCTGATCGATTTAAGCCAAATGATGCCATTGAGTCACTTGATCCCACTGAATTAGTATTTCTCATATGTGAAAGTGTGGCAGTGCAAGCTACACTAGTCAGGTGTACAGGCAATAATGAATTAAGCAGATGTTCAACGAGATTCCCATGCTGCACCATTTCAACCGGATCCATGAATTTACGAATGAAACGATCCGTTAATGCGCCAAAGCAACGAAGAGCACATTCTGAAACCTAAACAGAAAACAGTATTTTAATTTCTGGAAAAACAAAAACTTGCAGAATGGTTCAAGATTTTCAACTAGCAAAATTTGTGTAAATGTTAGAGATCAGTCAAATAATGCATGAAAATTTCGGCAAAGCAAACCTTTGGATCATCATGTTCAAGAAGAGCTCCCAAACTGGCACTACATTCTGGCAAGGTAGAATCACTCGGTTCCATTTTGCTACATAGTTTCGTAATGACAGACATTGCTGAGTGAATAGTATCCTTTAATATGAACTGATAACATTATCATCTTATATTTTACGATCAAAAAGCTATTTCGACTCCCATTATCTTTACAATGTTACTGAAATTCTATACCATTTAGAGTGTAGGCAGATCAGACTCAGTTGTTTTGGATTGAATACCTCCAGTTCTGACTATGATTTTTACAGCACTGCTAGTTGTTTTAAAAAAGGAAAATCAGAATTTTGAGGCAAAATTTTATATCGGTGCAAATCTAATTTTTAGTACTGAGCACATCATGTTCAATCTTATCCTTCAAATTTTAGTATCAAACAAGTAAAATTTCTGACAGCATTACCTTGTGAACATACTGTCCATGCTGACGAACTAAAGTCAACATACACTGTAAACCTCCAGCATCATATACTGCAGATGTTTCCTTTTGACAAACATGCTCGAGTAATTTCACACACTGTTCGGCTAGAAAAAAAGGAAATTTGAAAAAGATATCTCAAATAAGCAATACTATATAACATCTATAAATTCTGAAATAAAAATGCTTTAAAAGATAAAAACAGTGCCACAACTTCTAACAGACAAATAAATGTAAGTTAAAAATTATCAGAACTTAACTAGTTGCGACCTACTGAGATTAACCTTCATTAATTCTTCCTGTTTTTCTTAATACACGACAATGTAGCGGGATGTGAAATGCTAATTTTGAAAAAAGCCCCTACAGCATGTTCGACATTTTAGTTTCATACACCTATAAAAAAATGTATTAATGCTGTTACGTAGTGCAATGTGTTACCGAGATCTTTGCTTGTACGATCACTCATTTCCGCAACTGCTAGTCGGTTACAAATTGCCTTAACAGCACCATCCACTTGTGTTATTCGTCTTGTACATTCATTCGACACATCCAAATAGTACGTTATAGCACGGGCAGTGACCTAAATTTATTTTGCCTAGGTCCGAGGAATTCAGTGAGAAAAAAGACTTAATGTAATAAAAAAATATTTGTGAACAGATATCGCGGCTATAAAATGATTCTGTTAGCTTGTTCCGAACAGTTTCATATTTTTTTTTCCATTGATTTAGTTACTTGGTCCAAATTGTATGAACTTTACTTTATAAAGACCAAGTATAATTTTTTAAACTCAACTAATATCGTGTTCCTTAAGTATTTTTCAACCTGCAAACTAATGTGTTTGGAATGATTTAGGAAAATGCAAATTTTTGTGTTCAAGCACAAAAATGTTGGCTCATAACTTTCCATTTATAGATAAATAATATTTTCGTGTCCTAGGACAGAACTGTTAATTTATGATTAATATGTAGCTAAATAATCATTACATCTATCTGCAATCATTTTCACCTTCTAAACTACAAATTCAGGAATAATATATTATGCATACTTCCAAAACATTTTCTGTAGCTGTTTCATCAAGGAATATTTTACACAAAGCGGGAAGGAAAGTTCTTGGTGGACAACTTTCAAAACACTGGTCAATATTGTCACTCATCAACAAGAGCATACAAAGCTGTTCCAATGCCATTAACTGAAATCCAATTTTTCTTTAAATGTTTTTGCTGTTTCTAAAAAAAAGAAAAAAACATGGAATCCTTATTTTCTATGACGGAAAATAAGATCCACTAATTACCTGAATATCGCGTTCATCACCGACTCCTGTTTGCAACCATTCCAGAAGAGTGTCTGGATCCACACCTTCCATTACACTTGTCCTGTATTCCTTGAACAGCACACCCCCACACCTTAAAAATAAGTCGTCAACTAAAAGTGGAGGTATGAAAAGGTATAAAAGTGGGAGAACAAAATAAAATGAAAAGTACGATGACATTAACTGATGCCATTAAAACGTTTGAACAAATGTTTTTTAATGAGCCAAAGAACCTTGGGAATAAAATAACATTTAATAAGCAGCATGAGATTCCCAGATTTATAATTAGTTTGCATGGAACAGTTGGGAAGAGAATCATTTTGCATTTGGTTATCATAATGTCTAATTCAATAACATATTTGAGAAAAAGCTTAAATAAAACAATTCACGATATTGTTTACACGAATTCAAATAAAACCAGCAAGTCTACAAAAGCCGAAACGATAAATTTGAAATGGAAATAAGATGAAAAGAAATTTTGACCACGACACGAAATATATCTGAAAATTCAAAAATGCTCACACACTGTCGAAAACGCGATATGTAACAATTCTTTATACCCACTTCGCCCTCCCTGCCCTTCACTCCAATAAGCGATAAAATGATTCTGCTTAGAAATAAGAATATTTAGTTTTCTTGCTGTGCTCAAAACTAACTGCATTTAACAAATTCAGCAAAAGAATCCAGATCAGAAATGAGATGACATCAATAGGAAACATTATAAATCGAAAGAACATCAGTAAGGAAATTGTTAGGACTCTATTACAGAGGCTGATCAACCATTCACACACTTATGAATCCAAAGCAACAAATTCATCTCAGTAAAGCATGGTTTGAGAAAGCAAACAGCCTATGGTAAAGAGTCGACAACCTGAAAAAAGAGTGTGTTAAATGCTCAGTTCCACCAATTATGTTAGAGAAATCTGTGGTAACGACATGATAGCGGATACTACTCATCTGCACATTCACTGAAAGGAATACACACGACCACTTCTACCCCTTTTTCCACAGTCAAACGAACAATTGCACAATGCGAACATACACGCATAGGCTATTTGTGGCAATTTAAAGTTAACTAAATTGAAAATTGTCCGTGGTTAAGCTAATATGTACACATTCCTTAATAAGCAGTCAGTCAGTAAAACGTTTAAGATGAAATGGAGAATACGTTGTTATCATTACATGATAGAATAGGTAATCCACACCAGATTCTTACCCCGTATGAATACCGGTATCAAAAACGATGTGCATCTATGTAGAAACCAAGAGAGATCTTTATTTTCATATGCTCCCACCAATTAGTGCTCCTGGCTGGTTCATATCATTCTGTATGGTGTTAAACTGATGGGTAAGCGACTAGTCGGTCGTCGTCCATGATAGTGCCCCTTCAGGTGGCAAATGAGAGAGTGAGACTTATTCTGAAAAATGGATTGATATAGTAAAGAACTTCCTAGTATCAAGCCTGAGGTGCCAAAGTATGACATTGTTTTGATATTTCAAACAACGATTGTGATGTTTATGAACACTTCGAAAAAAACTGAAATTCGTGCATGACGTCACTCAAATAAACTTTCGGGTACTGAAAATGATTAATCCAAATCTTTAGAATTGTAACCATTTATAAAAAGTGTTTGAATAATCAATGATGACTGTTCACTGCATCTTATGTTTTTGATAACTTTTTTTATAATTCCAAGTTGTACCTATAATAATCCCAATGTACAGGCAGATAGCATTACACTTTTACTGTTTTTTATTCCCTGTCATTTAAAAGACTCTTCTTTCATAGTTGCTATTCTATCATGCACTTCACTTACCATTTTGAACAAAATTCTTTCTTGAATGTCTATAGGGTAATCGTCTTTCCTTAGTTGATTTTTTTGTTTATATTGATTTACTGGTTCTATTTTATTTCCACTTTCAATGCTTGCGTTCGTACCTATGCTGTATTTATAAAGCTGAACAAATTCTACGAATTTCACTCATTTCCCGCTTGCGAGTTTTATTTATATACAGCTTATTTTAAATTCAGGAAATTGGTAACTAGCAGCTTCTTAATGGAAACGGACGATTCCTTCGACTTTTTATTTAAAATAGTTCTAATCGGCGATATGGGCGTGGGTAAAACATGTGTCGTACAAAGGTATCTTGAACGTTTTCAATAGCACTTCATTATTATTGTGTTTTTTTTTTTTTTTTACTTAGATTTTCACATGAAATGGTAGTCGTTAACTTTATTATTTATTATTGAAATATTGAAATGTAGTCGTTAACTTTATGATTTATTACTGAAATATTGCTATTAACAGACACAGCATCAAGAAGAAGACTCGGTAATAAGAAATGGTTTCTAATAATTTGCTTTTTTATCCGTAATCAAATAATAATATTTTTTGAATTTAATTGAAGCTTTGAGCTACTTAAGATTCAAAAATGGAACATTTATCGAAAGACAAGGAACAACAATTGGTGTTGATTTCTCCATGAAAACAATGATTATCGAAGGCAAGCGTGTGAAGTTGCAAATTTGGGATACTGGTGGTCAAGAAAGATTCCGCACAATTACCCAAAGCTATTACAGGTTAGTATATTGAAACTGTGGTGTCTTTTCGTAAAAGAGAGTGCTATAAGGTATTGTAACAAGCCATTTTATGTTTTACTATGCTGTGATATGCTTTCCAGAAGCAGTTTTTGTGCTCACAGCAATACGTGGAACACTAAGCAGGGGTTAATATAAAAAGCAGAGGCTAGATTATTGAAAGGATGTAGTACTTTTTGCGTTAATGTCTTAACATAAATCAGATGTTTATTCCGATGATTCGTTTATTGCAGATCAGCAAATGGCATTTTATTATGTTATGACCTAACATGTCGTCAGTCTTTTGAATCACTTCATCGTTGGCTGGATGATGTATCGAAATTTGCTGCACCAAATGTCTGCAAGATACTTGTTGGTAGGTTTATTGAGTCGTTTAATTTGTTACATTGCGTATTTCCTGGACATTTTGATACCGTTTTTAAGGTTTTGCAGATATTAAAAACAAATGAAGCACCTATTTGTTTGATAAATAATTACAAGGAAGTAAGTAAGATATTCGTGCAAAATGCTTTTGTAACTAGTTTTTAGCAACAAAAGCAGATCTTGAAAATGAACGTCTCGTCGAACGAGATGAAGGTAGCGAATTGGCAAATGCAAATGGTATGTGCATATTCATTGAAACATCATCAAAAAATAATTTAAATGTGGATAATGCCTTTTTGGAATTAGCGTGTCAGTTGAAGAGACAATATGAAGCAGGTGTACATCTGGATTCTCAGTTGGATGCTTTCAAGATTTCGCAAGGTACAACAACGATCAGCTCCAAATGGACTTCATGTTGCCATTATTTATGACTATCCGACTTTTCAAATCCTTGGATTGTGGAATTCGGCTAGAAATTACAGTTTTGGAATTTCTCTAGTTTATAAATTTTCTTTTTTCGCTGCCTTTTGTTTTTTATGAATCCGTGTTTGCTTTAATTATTTTCTAGGTTTGTGCTGTGCTGTTTTACAAATATCAGTCTTTCAAGAGTGTGTCTGAATGGTATTTTGTGTATGGCATGATAATGTTGAGACCTTTCTTTGGACGCTGGATTCTAAAAAATCTAGAAAACTGTACTCAATTTGAAAACATTGTTAAACAGAAACTGATAGTACCAGAGCCATACTGTCCAAAAAGGATTGCTTGATCATCTTTGGTTCTGCTGAACTTCAATGTTGGCCACTAAGTTTTCAATAATTTTATGTGATTTTTCCGACGTCGAAATTTTTCATGGTTCTTTTAATATCAGTATCCTAATCTACACTATTTTGTAAATATTATTTTTTCCTTAGTTTGTGAAATTAATCCTTTTAAGTGTACTGTATTTTCATACCCGTTCTATCATTAACAATTGGCGCTACATGATTTTTGCAAATTTTCAGTGGCATCAAATCAAAGTATCAAATTTTTCTATTCATTTATTGATAGTCATTTTGAATGTTCTAGGCGAATCGCATAGTCAATGAAGAAGAAATGGATAATACTGAATATTTTTGAATGTTGACTCATTTGTTTTAACATATTGAATTAGATGCTGTATCCCACGTCGAGGCAGATTTCTTTAATGCATTTAGCATACTTCATGCGTTTTATTTTCCTTTCTAGTGCTTCAGTTTCATAATGCATAATTTATATGCATAGAGGAAAGAATTTGCAGTGATACTGAATACAAACTGTGTATTTCCATGTTCATGTTAATATACTTGATCAACTGTTCTTGTATTTTTCAAACTATTCACCTGAATGGATCTATTTGTTATCTCTTTCAATATGCATATAGAATCTTTACATGTGCATGAATTCATTATTCGCAAAATTATGTACCCCTAGATATACTGTACGGTGAATGAGGGACTCAGGAAAGTTGCACTCAGTGATTTTTTGAACAGTTGAAAAGTGTGATGCTGAATTAGGTGGATGGACTATAATTTTTTGGAAACAGCGTACTTAATATAGCCTTTTCATGCAACGAGGTTACTTTCAATCTAATAAAACATTAGAAACGAATGTAGTGAGTCAGTAATGCACGTTTGGAATAAGGATAGTGATTTGTACTATGATTCGATCAATAGTTTTATTGCGTCTCTTTATTGCATACGACTAATGATCTTCACTTAGAATATACTATGGCACAATGTTGGCAGTGCAATGCGTCTGCTTCGGTGAAGAGGTCAAAGGATGGTAAATCTGCCTGTGTCGTTTGCTTCACTGATGCCTTCGAAGCGGTAAATTGGATATAAAGATTTAGAGAATTGTATTATTCTCCACCTTCTTCAGTGCTTTAAGCTAAAGCAATCATTCTAGAAATTTTCGCATACTGACTGTAGTGTTTTTCTGTAGAGCACTGGAATGCAACAAAAAAGAAATACAATGACATGAAGAAAAGGAAATGGGAATTGCTGTCTGCATGTCCCTACCATTTGTTGTTAAAGCTGTTATGGTTTTTATGTAGACAGGCTGATTGCTGTCTTAGTGTCAAGACATTGATCATATCTTGGTGGAATGTAGTTCACTTAATAAAATTACCTGATTGAGGAAGATGGATTCAACAGACTCCCATCAGACGAGCTAGATAAAGGTAGTTGCAAGGTAATGACAGTTGGTTTGTAAGGTGTCAATAATAAGGATGTTAATTTGATTTTGCGAAATTCATGCACTGAAATGCGGAAGAGTGGGAGGAAAATAGTAATGCTTAATGGGATGTTTTTTTTCGTGGGAAAAGCTATGAGAAGGAATGCAAGTTTTGAACTGCCAATTAGTATTGTTAAGCAATGGTCAGATCCTGACAATATTTGCGTTATAGGTAGGTCCCACGCTGTATGTGGTGGCCCATCGATACACAAGAATTTGCGACAAGATGATGCTTTTAGCCATCTTAAGAAAAATCACTAACTGATACGGTTTATAAAATTCCTGTAGAGCATTTCAGTAACTGTAGCAATTGGAAGTAGTTGAAACTGGATAACTTTTAATTAAGAGTCGTAGAGAAATTAAGAATAGTAGCAACTATAAAAGTAGGTTGGCGTGGCCTCATTGGCTTTAGTGTATTTAGACATCTTCTTGATTATAAATCACGGTTTTAAGGGCAATATTGGACTTACTTGAAATTATTTTTCTGCTGCAGGAAGTGCATAACGTGATTAAAAGTTACGGTTTATTCGGCAAAGGTAAGAAAATTGCTGTTGGAGCGTCAGGTGGTAAAGACTCGACGGTACTAATTCATGTATTAAATAAACTAAATCAAAAACATGATTACGGATTGGACATCATTCTGCTTTCAGTCGATGAAGGAATCACGGTACTTTTTTCTAATTAGTATTCCCAGAATTCTTGCATGTGTGGTTCGCATTTATAATGTAGTGTAGCATTTCCGATCCAAATTTCCGAAATCTTTTATAACATTAATGTATCGAGGAATTTTTTATAGTACGTGCAAGGATAAAGTGAGTTACCCATTATTACAAATGAGCAAATTCGAAAGCTCGCAAGTTAATGTTTTTTTTTTTCTCGATCTTGAGAGTGAAAACAGCGAATTCTCGGTTTAAGAAAAGGCTTTGAATTGACTTAGCAAAGGTTCCAATTTTTTTTTCTAAGTAAGGCTCAAATTCGTCGTTTTAGGGTTACCGTGGTGATTCGCTAAAAGCCGTTGAAAGAAACAGAAATGATTATGGATTACCGTTGGTTGTAATGTCTTATAAACAACTGTATGGTTGGACGATGGATGAAATAGTGTCGGCTGTTGGTGCTAGAAATAACTGCACTTTTTGTGGTGTTTTTCGGAGACGTGCTCTAGACAGGTGACTACATTCCTGACTCTTTCTTTTGCTCTAATCTTTGTATCCATGACATTGGTTACTTTCTATATCCATCATTGTTAGAATCAGAATCATCAGTTTTATTCAATTTAGTTATGCTAAGATTGGGGAAATTCATTCCTTGCATTTTAGGGGCGCAATTGAGTGTGGAGCACATATTATTGCAACAGGGCATAATGCTGATGATATGGCAGAAACAGTGTTACTTAACGTATTGCGAGGCGATTTGGCACGGTTACAACGATGTACTGAAATTGTAACAGGTTTCGCTAATAATTCCTTTATATTTTCAGCTTTTAATAATTCTAACATCAGTGTGAGCTAAAAACCTTAGCGTAACTAAGTATTTCGGAAAGTAGTGTACAATTGTCCAGAACATTCAGATAGGGTGAAACTAAACTAATGTGACTAGTGGGTTCTAAATAGAAGTGATTAAGAGTTACCGTAAGATTGATACCTTAGACATATAAAAATACGGTCCCACATATTCTATCTCATTATCATATCAACGTCCCAGCGTTTCTGGTAGTCAAAGAATTCTATGTACTTTTTAGAAATAGAGATCAGTTATCTCTTTTAGGATTGGAAGGCTGTTTGCCTAGAACGAAACCTCTAAAATATGTCTTTGAAAAAGATATTGTGATGTACGCACACTTCAATAGGCTGGACTATTTTTCTACCGAATGTAGATATGCACCTGATTCCTTTCGTAATTACGTGAGGTACGTATTCAATTAAATTTGAATTTACGAGAGTACGGTGCCAAATTAATCATCATAAATTAGCGCAAGAGCAATTTCTTCTTACAGAATGTATGTTAGAAAATTGGAGAGGTTGCAACCGAAGGCGATTTTGGATTTAATAAGATCCGGCGAGACAATTTCTGCTCGCAGTGATGTTTCTCTCCCTGCACTGACCACATGTGAAAGGTAAGTTCTGGCTCAATGCAGAACTGTCATAATTTTTCATGATCAGAGGTAAATCAGTTAATTTTAGATGTGGCTGCATGTCTTCGCAGAAGCTTTGTAAAGCATGCCTTTTGCTGCACGGTCTGTTTACGAACGATTATAGCTTGGGTATCAAAAAGGTAAATTCATTTGTTAAAACATGTCACAGTTGGCTCCATGGTAACATTTTGTTGATATATACTTCTTCCTCGTAATATTTGAGAAACAAAGACCTACGTAGAAACAATTTCCGACTGCTTGACGGAAAGGGGATCAAAACTTTATACAATTTGTGCTATAGTATTCCATCACAGGAATCTACACAATTTCCCCTTTCTTACATGTAGTGATTGTATTTCCTGAAGAAAATACAGCTTGAGAAACTTGTAGGTGTGCTTCAAGACAAGTTTCAAAAATTAATGATATTCGATTTCGTATGTGGCATGCATTACATATGCACAACTTTAACCGAAAAAAAAAATTTGTTCAAAAATTCACTATGCTTTTGCAGGAAACGGTAAAGAAAAGAACATACACGAAGAAACATCTCAAAAAAGAATGTGCCTGCGAGACAAAGAACAAGTTTTGCTTTTGAATTTCTCCTGTTCCCAGCAACAGTAACAACAGGAAATTGAAATGAAACAATTCAAGGCACAACCTTTTCTTAAAATTAAAAGTCAATATACGGTGCGTTTGTCTCTCTGCTTTAACCGCTGCAAATCCCTTGTTTTGTTGATCGCATTTTGTATGGCAACCTGCAACAAAATCGCACAAGAATGATTCGATAATGTTGCCGAAGTAAACATACGCAGTGAAATATGCAAATACCCGTCGCAGTTTTTCCATTTTCATTGGAAATATTTCAATCGCCGGTTTTAAATCGAACTGCTCTCTTAAAATCGCATTCATTTTCAGATGGGAAATTATGCTGCCATGTAAGACATCACATATAAATTCATATAAAAGTTTCTTTCGACATGAATTAATACTCAGTGTTTCATCACCAAATCTTACATCAAATATCGGCGCTTCTTGTTCCTGAAAGATCAA